ATTTCACCATCATATTTGAGGGACAGCTTTGCTGGGTATATGATCTTGATTGGCAATTCTTTTACAGTTTTGCTCATGTCATCCCATTGCCTTCTTGCCTGCATAGTTTCTGCTAAGAAGTCAGAGTTTAAACTTATGGTTCTCCTTTGTAGGTAATTTTTCATTTTTCCCAAGGTGCTCTCAGGATTCTTTCCTTGTCTTTGATTTTGGAAAGTTTGATTATAATATGTCGATAATTTTCTTTTGGGTCTATCCTGTTTGGGGTTTGTTCAACTTCTCCTATGTTTATCTTCATATGTTTTATAATGTTAGAGAAGTTTTCTTCCAACAACTCTTCAACAAGAGTTGCTGTCTTACTGTTCTGGAATCCCAATCATCCACAGTTGTTTCTCTTCATGGTGTCCCACATAACTCTTTGACTTGCTTTGGATTTTTTCCTTTTTTCTTTTTTTCCCCAGATTTTTCTTCTAACATAATATTATTGAGAGATTTATCTTCAAACTCACTAATTTGGGCTTCCATTGCTTTGCATCTACTCCTTTGCCCTTTCAATGAATTGTCTATTTCTGAGATCTTAGTATTAATCTTCTGAATTTCTAATTGCAGGTTTTGTATTATTACAATTTTTTCATTTATTTTGTCTGCTTATTCTTGTAGTGTTTTCCTGAATACTCTTTGCATTCCTCGATTTTTCTATTGATTCTTTGAAAATACCTAATTATCATTCTTTCTAATTATTCTTCAGTTAGTTCCATTACCTTTTCTTACTCAGAAATGTTCTCCAACTCTGCATCATGGTCCTTTGTTTGAGCCATTCTCTCTTGTTTCTTCATGTGAGCTAGTGCTGTTGTTGGACATGGAGAGGAGATATCTTAGGGGTGCTCCTGCAATTCAAAGAGCTCATGAGGCAATTGTGGAAGGATGTGACAGCAGAGTTCCTGGACCTAGATGGTGTTATCCATGTTAAGGGCATTCATTCTGAAAGTAGTTCATGATGTCCTTGATCTACCTCTTTAAACTTTCTCCTGAAGTTCAGGGTGCCAGAATTTTCATCTGTGTGTTTCATTTGGTCTCTTGTATCTTTGTTGGCTAGGGGCTGCGTACTGCATCTGTCTAGGCCACCTTCTTGCTTGGCGTCCCCATGGCTTTAAAAAAAAAAATGTTTGTTTGTTTTTTCTTTTAGCAAATACCAAGAAACAACTTCTAAAAAAGAAGTTGAGAACTGAAGATATATTGCATGCTATAGGGACCCAACTAGACAGTTGTAAGTAAGCACTGACAATAAACCTGTCCTTCCAGGTTGTTTACATGTGCCCTTACTCCAAACTTACATTACAGACATAAAAGACATCCATGTCTAGTGATGCCATAGTTAAGTTATGGAAAGAAATTTTTTTTTGGAGGGGGAGCATTTTAGTTGTGTATTTGCTTTAAAATAATGAATGTTTTTAGCACAGAAACTCTGGTATTGTAGAAGTTATGTATTGGGCTGCTAATTGCAAGGTCAGCAGTTCAAATCTACCAGCTACTTTGTGGGAAAGACATGAGAGTTACTGTTCCCACAAATATGTATTGCCTCTGAAATCTACAGAGGGTCACTATGAGTCAGAACTGACTTGATGGTCCAACACCACTACCATACCATTAAAACCAAAAGAAATTATCCAAACCCATGGACAATGGGTCATTTCCAACACATAGCAACCTTATATAGGGTTCCTAATACTGTAAATCTATTGGAACAGACAGCTTCATCTTTCTCCCATGTGCAGCTGATGGGTTTGGACCATTGAAATCCTTTATCCAAGGCCAATGTCATACTTACTATGGAAAATTCCCTGAAATAGCCAAAGGAAAGTGATTGAGGATCCCAAACTCACTCTGGTTTAGCATGATTCAGCCTGCCACCAAAATCATGCTTCTAAATTAGAGATAGAATAATTTATATAAGAAAGCTGTTAACTTTAGAAAAATCTTCCTTATGAGAAGAACCTGATACCAGATCCAAGGAGTCACCTATTCCCCTGATGGAATACTTGAGAAGGGACAAAACAATAGAAATAGAATAGGTGTATTAGAAAATATTTAGGGTGGGGGCATTTTTAGATAGCTATAGTCCAAGTAGTCAGACAATATTCTGTGTACTTAGAATTATTCCAGATAAACATTATCACACTCTTTGGAAACACTATACAGAGTTGCTATGAGTTGGAACTGACCCAACAGCACTTAACAACAACAAACATTATCACTAGACCAAGGCTAAAATGGTAAATTTTATCCAACTAACACCTGCTAGTGGCTATAAATTTGTACTCATTCTGATTTGCAGGTAATTACACTGGGTTCCTTGTTGAAAGGCCACAGCAGAATTTGTTACAAAGAAGCCATTGAAAAATATTGCTACCTTGTGGAGAGCCTCAGCTGTCCTCTGCAGTTACATGAAAATTCATTTTACTAAACAAGAAGTAAAGGTCATCTGTTGTATTTTTCCCATTTTCCAAAGACTCCATTGTCCTTATTGGCCCCAATCATCTAGATTTGTGGAAAGGACTAACAGAAATGTAAAAACTCACCTCATTCATGGGACTGATGTAAGTACAAGCCCTTCAGTGAATGGTAATGAACTTAAAGGTACTCCTTCTAGTCCTCAAAAGTTAACTTATTATAAAATTATAACAAGAGGATCCATACATATGCCAGATTCATCAATTATTGATAATTCTAATTTAATATAAA